CAGCTTAATCTGTTTCGTCTTTTACGTTAAAATGAATTAATACAACTAGTTTCCAACAATGTTGAAGGTCTGTGAGATGGGGCAGCAGCTTGATCCCACTCATGCTTTTGGTGTTGTTGATACAGCTGGCAGACCCTCCCCATCAGTAATGGAGTCCCACTGAGGAATGGGAGTCCTGACCACTTCTGTTTCCTACAGAAGCCAGATGTGTTGGAAGCTCTGCTTTGGGAAAGTCCTCGCTGGCCAAGTGGTAAACATAATTTATCTAATTCCCCCAAAAAGCTTATGTTAACATGTGTTAAGTTTCTTTTAATCAAGCAGCAGCTCTTAGCCTCCAAAATACAACATTCTTCTTGTAACTTTTATTATCCTTCCTAATTCTATTCTTATTTTATCCCCTTCTAGTATCTTACCTCACATTAGCTCTGAGGGACAATATCTATGGACCCGACTCCCAAATAACAGGTTTATAACCTAACTATGCTACTATGGTTACTATCAGATTCATGCTGTTATTCTTTATTCCTCTATACTTCCCCCTCACGTTTCCACATACACATTGTATTTTGCTATATCTGAAACCGATGCCCTATCCTTTGTGCTGGCTATGAAAAAAAAAGGAGGTAATAAATAAACAGCTTAGCTTCTTTTGTCTAAGCCTTGAAACGTGTTGTATTAAACTAGCAAATGCCTACTTTGCCCCACAATACATTGGATTGTATACTTGTGTCATTGTACATAGAAAACAAAAAATCCCACAGTCATGTTCAAACAGCATGTAATACATAGAAGGTATTGTCATAAGCACTGTAATTTGGCAACATATTTCAATCAATGTTGCTATCAGGAATAAGAAGCCACACAAAAGAAGAAGAAAAGTTTTAAGAGAACAGATTAAATATTTCTTGTGTAAAAATTGATGGGTGAAGCTGGAAACACTTCTTGGCAGAAGGGGAAAGCAGGAGGGGGGAGAGGGAATTTGTAAGAACAAAAGACATCTCCATCCTCACAAAGGTGTGCTACTGAACAGGGAATCTAATCACACTAATAGCGCAGAAGGGGCTGATGCATTCAGGAAGCAATTCTGCATTTGGAAAGAAATGAGATGACTTTCTTATGTCTCATGAGAATGATGAATTACCTCTTCAGCCTGTGGCACAGAGCAATGTTAAAACAACCTTTCTTTGCAATGCCTTTTGTTCAGCAGGACAGAAAACGGTCATCACAAAAAAGGGGTCCCACAGAAATATCTGAGATGGCTACTCCACCAACATGAATTTTTAATCATTCTGAAAATTGCAGGGAAATTCCAGAATTCTAACATTACAACCATGCTCTAACAAGCGAGCGAGATTGTGTTTATAGCTGTAGGTTAGCATGATGCAAATTTTGAGCAAAATAGTAAAAAAAAAAAAAAAAAAAAAAAAAAAAAGTGAGCATCACTATGCACACTTAAACTTTTATGGCACTTGGTATAGTATTCTGTGATGGTCTGATTACAAACTAGCAGCAATTAAATATGTTAAGAATGGGTTAAGGGACACGGACAAACTAATCAGCCTTCAAGAATGCATCACAACATAACTGGGATTTATGAGGAATTGCAGCCTTCCAGTACCTAAACGGAGCCTATAAGCAGGAGGGGAGTCAACTCTTTGAAAAGGAAGATAATAGCAGGACAAAGGGAAATGGTTTTAAGTTGAAGGGGGGAAGATTTAGGTTGGATCTCAAGTGGAAGTTCTTCACTATGAGAGTGGTGAGGTGCTGGAACAGCCCAGAGGCTGTGGATGCTCCAGCTCTGGCAGTATTCAGGGCCATGTTGGATGGGGCCCTGGGCAGCCTGGTCTAGTGTTAGAAATGGAGATTGGCAGCCTGAGGCAGGGAGCTTGGAGGGAGCTTGATGATTCTTTAGGTCCCTTCCAACCCAAGCCATTCCATGATTCTATGAATTCCACACAGTTTGAGCCGCTATCAAGAAACAATTTTTCGATTTATTGTAAGTAGATATGACCCATCATGACAAAGTTTGCACAAGTTATAGACTGACAGAATGCTGCATAACTGGGGTAGACCAGTTGGGACTGTTTGATATACTCAAATATATGTTAGAAAAAAAACAAAACAAAACAAAACAACCTCTTAAACAAAGCCACATATAAAGCTGCTGAGCTACGACCAGGAAACACACTCTAGTCCACAAAACTATGAAGTCTTCTTGAAAGTCACAGTCCTGCCAAGGTTTTGATAGGGCAAACATTACCGACGAAAGTGTGATTAAAATACAGTGCTGCAGCCAATGGGGTTAAAATGTAAACCTGATATATCAACAGAAGCGTAATGCTAAAGAGGTAACACTTAAACTCATGCAACACTCCTCAAAGAGGTACTGGCGTTCTGCACCCAGCTCACACTGTCACAAAAATGTTGAAAAAGCAGATTTGGAGAAGAAGAAAAAAACAAAGAAGGCCACAGAAATTGAGTAGTGAGGAAAATGCATGCAGTGACGATTTAAAGTAATTTTAGACCATTTGTTTTTTTCCAAACAGCAAAGAGAGGGATTTACTAGGTTCCAGCAGATAAATGCCTCCCTCCACGGTAAGAAAATACTTTGAGTTCTTTAGCATGCTGGAGAAAAGCACAGCAGTAACCAGTGACTAGGAGCTGGAGCCAAATAACTTAATAAGCAGTGGATTCTCCACCTCTTACAGTCTTCCGATCAAAATTCCTTTTTTTTTTCTGGGAAATGTGCTTCAGCCAAATACAAGTTATTGCACTCAGAAGTAACTGGATAGAATCCAACTGACTATAACAGTCAAGAGGTCAGAGTGGAAGATCTAATTGCTTCCTTTGGCTTTGAAGTCTCAGTCTATGAATACTCTCGGTTTTCAGTTGTTCAAAGGCACGTCAGCAGTACCATGCGTGTTCACCATTAATATTAAAAAAGAGCTTTCAAAAATCTGCATAAATTAGGGCTGCATTTCCATGCTGGTCTCCAATGACCCTGGAGCTTTCCTATGGAGGCTTTTGTCATCAGCATCACCCACTGATGGCATTACAACTACCTTCCCCACAGATGAGGGTGTTTCTGCAGCAGCCTATAAACAATGACTTACACAATTGAGTGTGAAAGTTCACCCTTCAGGTCAGTACTTTTTCTATTCTAGAAGGAACTGTTTGAATGCAATGCCAAAAGCCCGATAACAATACATGATATTAATCACAGAAACAATAGGTTAAAAGGAAAAGCAGAAGCCCTGCGATAGCCACAAAGCCAACCAGATCTGTTATGTGCCTCAGCATCATCTGAGTTCTCCTATTCATGCTACTTATCTCGGACTCCTAAACACACTGCTGCAATCTTGACAAGTTCACATAATGAACATTTCTTAGGTAGGGCAGAAGATGCAGGATTTTACATGTTAGGGCTGAGAGAGTTTTGCTATTGTACATGCTGCCCTAGGAGGTACAGTAGATAGTTACAGTAACGGGCTTTGAAACATTGTATAGGAAGCATAACTTTAGGCTCAGGCTTGACAAATAGAAGCTTCCAAGGGCTGAAATCGTTGCAAGCATGCTAACAGCTAAACAAACTGATAACTAAAGGTCGGGCTATCGCACAGCAGAGCAGCAAAACACCATGCAGTGGAGGAAGCAGCACCTTCCCAAGCCTTCAGGCACCACATCCCCATCACTCCAGGGAGAAGCAGGTGCCATAAACATGTCAAACTTACTTCCCTGGCCACCCTGATGTTTGGGAGCAGAAGGACAGTGACACACTGCTTCCCTTCGTCACCCAAAAGCCAAACTTCTTCCACTCCAGACACTTCACCGCTTCACAGCCCAATTCCACGCTGCTTTCCATCAGCTCCACGCACGGACCAAACCATGTTCAACGCTCTGCAAACTTCTAACAGCTGCCGGGAGAGCTGGGGCTGGGCTGCGGGTCACCGCAGAGAGGGACTGAAAGAGGCCTAAAGAGGACGGATGGATGGAGGGCTGCAGCCCCCTGCCCACCCCACGGCCCTGCAGTGCGCGACAGGGAGGGGTGGGCAAAGGCATGGAGAGATTCCCGTGCTGCCTGAAGAAAGGAGAATAACGAGAAACACAAAAGGAGCGTTCGCACGGGGCCACGTAAATAGATGGTAAACAGATGGATAAGCAAAACAACGCACCTCCGACCCTCTCTTTCTTCCCTAAACAAAATCCCCCTCTCCCCACAATACACGCGCCACCCAATGACCATTAATTCAAATCCGTTCTTTAAAGACAGCGGATTATCTCTGTCTGTGAGCAGCTCTCTCAGCCTCTTCTCTTTCACAGGGCAAGCAATTACAAAAAAAAAAAAAAAAAAAAAAACAAAAAACAAAAAAAAAACCAAACAAACAAAAAAACAAAAACAGGCGTTTTGAAATAAAGAGAGAAAGGGGAAAAGGGAAGGAGCGATGGGTGATTTGGGGTGGGTGTGAAACGTGTGGAAAAGGAGCCTGGGGGATGGGGAAGAGTGGAGAAAGGTGGCGAGGAGAGAAGAAAGGAAAGGAGGACCGGGAAGGATGAGATGAGAGGAAGGAGGATGAGGAGAGAGGGACGAAAGGAAAGAGCTCCAGCAGGGTCGGGAAGGATGAAAGGGAGGAAGGGATAAGGGGAAGAAAGGAGGATGCTTTGCCCTGGCCTCACCTCAGCTCGGTGGGTGGGGGTGGGAGAACCTCTCGTCGCCGCCGCCGCCGCCGCCGCCGCCGCCTCCTTCTCCTCCTCCTCCCCAGCAGCGGCGGTTACTGACGGGCTGGGTGTGCAGCACGACTCCCTCCTAACACAACGCCCGGCCCCCGCCTCCAACCCTCCTCCTCCTTCTTCTTCTTCTCCTCCCGCTGCCGGCCCGAGCCGCGCTCGCTCGGCTCTCGGGGGGACCCGCGAGCGGCCGCCGGCCTCCCCGCAGCAGCCACTAGGGGAGGAGGCAGCGCGCCTGCGCCGCCGATCCGGCCGCTGTTACCGCCGCGCTCGGGGGCGGCGAGGCGGAGGGGAGGCGTTGTGTCGGGGCGGGCTGAGCCGAGGGTTCGCAGGGCCGGCGGTAGCGGCGGGCTGCCGACCGCCTCGCAGTGCGCAGATGCTGTGAGTACGGAGACGGCGTTACCAAGCGGGGAGAGAGGGAGGTGCCGAAGGGTGGTGGCCGTACGGGCGGCAGGTGGGCGGGTGGGTGGTGAGGGCTGCCCGGGCTCGGGGGGGTGGTTCGTCCTCGGAGTGCCGTGGGACAGCAGCGTCCATCCGGTGAAGGGAAGGTCTGTAGGGATGCTGAGGGATGGGATGTGAGGGAAGATGCACCTAACGGAGGGCTGGGAGCGAAGTGAGGTGGATTTACCAGCGCGATGCTTCACGTGCCTTCCATAGGGCAGGGGGAAGTAATTTTGCTTTATTAATTGCTCTATTAATTGCTTTCTTGTTGGACAACTAGGACTGACTGCCGGAGCTTCCACTGTAAAAAGCTTCTCTTGCAGCTTTCTTGCTGCGCACAGCCCTAAATTATTTGCACCAAAGTCCAGGTTTTTTGTCTTTCTGTTTTAAATTTTTCCTTCTTCAGTGCTACTGCTAAGCTTCCCAAGCTTAAGGTGGTTTTGTTACCTTTCAGTACCTTCCTTCTTTTTTGGGCAATGGAGCTGTGAAGGATTTGGAGCACAAGTCTTATAGGAAGCATCTCAGGGAATGGGAAGGTTCAGTGTGGAGAAGAGGAGGGAGGTTCAGGAGAGACCTCGTTGCTCAACAAATCCCTGAAAGAAGGTTGGAGTGAGGTGGGGGTCAGCATCTGTTCCCAGGTAACAGCTATAGGATGAGAAGTGATCACCTCAAGATCACCTCAAGTTGCAACAGGGGAGGGTCAGGTTGGATATTAAGAAATATTTCTTCTCTAAAAGAGCAATAATGCATTGGAACAGGCTGTCCAGGGCGATTGTAGAGTCAGTGTCCCTGGAGGTTTTCAAGAGAACAATGGCTGTGGTGCTGAGGGATGTGGTTTAGCAGGAGTGGTGAAGGTGGGATGACAGTTGGATTTAATATTATTGATCTTTTCCAACCTTAATGATTGTACGATTCTGCTCTGGAATCACTGAGCCTGGCATCCTGCAAGTTCCAGTGTCAGGGATCCCCATAGTGTAAGTGGTGTCATTGAGGAACTTTGCCATTTCAAGGCAGTGCAAATCCCGCTGATGTGCCCTTGCTCCATGCACCCCCTGCACTTTTTTGGGGATGTTCATCTGCTCTCCCATCTTCCACATACACTGACAGGCAACAAGGAAGGAAGTGGGATGAGTCCTTACAGACTTTTTTTTTTTTGTCTGTTTTAGGCTTGAAGAGGTTTTGCCAAAATAATTTCTCAGTCTATAAGGGATTCTGTAGAGGTGTCTGTCTACCCTCAAGTAGAATCTCCCCACTCTGAGAAAGGTCTTATCAAGGTCTACATTCATTTTTCCAACAAATAAATGGGGAAAGGAGCTGGACTGGAGCCTTGTTTCCCATTACCAAGTAACAGTAGAATCCAAGGGAGAGTCTGCACCTGAAAAACAATTTTTTAGCAAAAAGTCATTGAAATATGATTTTAAATGTGATCTGCTTTTTTATAGCTTATGTACTTGATAGAGTCATTTAACAGATATAAGTACTCAAAGATGGTGTTACACAGAAATACTTTTAATTACATTAACCTTCTCACAGCATCACTTAAGACTGACACACAACCAATTCTGCATGTATAAACAAATCATGCTAGACTGACCTGCCCTGTACGATGATGTATAAATTGTTGCTGCAAGCTAGGTATTTAGTTTGTGTCTTCATTAGGCTTTCAGTTTGGGTCAGATTAATTTTCTAGGTGCTTTCTCGTGATATTGAATTGAGCCATGTGATGGTAAGAAAAATTTACCTACAGACCTCCTGTTTCTTGCCTTCACTTCTGTACTCTGTGTCTATTAGACCGCTAATAAGTGCCTACTGTAAATGTTAAGGGAAGCAATAGAATATAGGAAATCATCATCTACTCCTTTATCACACTGCATGTCATCACTAATTGAATGTCAGCTAAAAGTGTCTTGAGGCATTTGATTAAAATGAGCATGAGCTATAGCGTACATGTAAGAATGTAGACAAAGAAGACAAATAGTAAATAAGCATGATTAAGAAAAATGATTGAACCTCTTCCCTTCACCAGTAGCTGCACTGCAAATACATCTCCTGTAAATTGAAACCAAAGGACTCGATCAACGATTTGTACATATTTCTCTTTAAAGTATGTCAGTTTAAGAAGCAAATCAGATTACTTACCTACTCCAGATTATTTTTATCTAAGACAGAAGGCATGTTGTGCAGATGTCTGCCAGAATGCGATAAGGAAATCTAAAAATCTGGAAGTTTTGTAAACTTGTTTTCTGTGGTGCTGAAAGAGGGCTTTGTCCACTGCTTAGACATTTCTTTCCTTTAGGTTATTAACTATTTTAACTGTTGTTTTTTTTGTTTTTTGTTTTTTTTTTTTTTTTTTTTTTTAAATTACTTTCATCTTTTATCACTGCTAACTGGAAGAAAAGTAAGTAACCTGAGTTTGTTACCAGTGTTTACTAAAAACTGAAATAAGGTACTGCTCTGTAAATGAATGTAGCTGTCATTAACCAAGGGGAGCCAGCTACCAACTCCTAGCAAAAACTTGCAACTGCCTTGGAATCTCCTCCTGCCAACACTGAGCTGTATATAGAAAAGAATCGTGATAGAATCGTGATCAAACCATGAGGTATACTGGGCAGTGTGATCAGCAAGAGAGATAGACAGACTGTTTTGCTCTTGTGAAATGTACCTGGATGCACAACAGCTCATGCAGACTTGCAAGCTACAGGTGGAATTTAACTTACAATATTTTAACCTTCTTTTAGGTTCTATTATCTTTAAAGACAGAATAATATCTTTCTTCTATAGAGTACATTGTTGCCTGCCTGTAACGAAGGGAAGTCATCAGCAGCTCTGAAAGATATTGCAGTAATTTGTATTAATAAGTCATTGCCTTCTAGATTTGGCTGCCCGAGTGCATATATATAGGGAATGACTGAAGTCATTCACTACCTCTGAACACACATGGATACTTTTTGGATAGGTATTGTGAATATCTGTATTCTAGTTTAGGTATGTCATTTTTGGCACATTCGCTTAACACTGGGTGGCAAATATTTCTTTCTTCCATGCAGCTATATACTTGTGTGTTACATATTGTCTTGAGCAGTGCATATCAGATCATTTAAATTGGATGTTGTACGAAGAGTAATCTGCAAGATGAGTTCTGACCTTCAGTCTCTTGCTGCCATGCCCTCTGCTTTCCCTTTTGACTGTTTTATCTGGCTCAAAAGAATCTGTCAGTCATAGTATCCAAGGACTTACCCTGAATTGTACCTCTGAAGTAGCTAGAAGGCAAGTAGCAGATGCAGTTTATTTTGGAGGAAAAAAAAAAATATGTATGTATGTCTATGCATTTCTTTGCTATGCTGGAGAGAATGGTGCAACTACTTTCACTTCTTTCAGAAAGTTGACTTTAAAAGCTCAAATTAAATGTAAAAATAAATCTGTTCTTTGCTGCTTTGGGAATAATGTAGGCCAGGTTAATGTCTGCCGTTTCACGCTATGACAAAGCCTTTTCTTTAAATGGTTACTTCTCAAAACCACAGGAATATATTTAAAATCTGTTTTGAGCTTCATTTGATACCTCTTATTGTCAGAGCAGGAGTGTGAGTGGAGGTCCTCTCTCATCCTTTAAGTGCAAAACCAGACAATGTGTGATAGATACATTGCCCTTCCATATATCAAAATGGGATGGGGAGAGAAAAGTTTTGAAACCTTGCATCTAATTAGAGAATGAGTTGTAAACATTTGAATATTCAATGCAAATGCCATGAAACCTCTTTTATAAAATGATTCATGTAACCTATCTGGACTATGTAGCAACTGGAAAAAAAAATAGGACCCAGGAAAATGTGACTTATCAGGTCTTTCCCAACCTTCCTTGAGTGATTGGCTTATTTAAAGCAGTATCTAAATTATCTTAATTATACATAATTACACATATACTTTTTTCTATCATCCCTTAAGGTTCCTGACTTTTACTGAAACCTTGAGCAAGCAAGCAGCTCTCATGCAGAGACCAGTGCTTTCTGTGTTGGCCACCACCTTCTAGCTGTTTCCCATCTGTTGTTTGTAAAGACTTCACCACTTGTGCTGCTGATGTTGTTAGCTCTTTGCAAAACAAGCTCAATTTTCTTGTATCTGCATACTGCATCAAAGCAGCAGGAAAACTATCCACAACTGTGAATCCTGTGCAGCGCCAAGATATATTTTTTTTATTGTTAGAGATCTCAATTAGTGAACCTTAATGGAAGTAAACAGTTGTGTTGCAAACTACAGGGCATGTACACAGCATACATTTAGGTAGCCTTATCTGTGTGGGAGAGCAAAGGAAAGAGACGGGCTGTGTAGAGAAAGGGAACAGGAGGTGTTAGAGGACCTAGTAGAAAGTGCAGAGATCAAAACTTGCAGTATTTTTGTCTTGTTCCTTTGCAGAACTTGTTGAACTTCCTCTGGCACTTCTCTGTCCTTGCAATTCCTTTCTTTATCAAGGAAAAACTTAGTGAGAAAGCTTAATATCTGAATCCTAACAACTGTCACACAGGAAGAATCTTTTCCTTTCAGTCTGAGGAGCAGGAGAGTTGTTCTGTGCTGCCATGGCTCCAAATGGAGTTTAAAAAGTATTCCTCCATTTAAAAGAACAGCCAGCAGACTTGCTTCACTTCAGGCAAATGACTGTCCTCAACCTTCTGCTCTTTCAATTATTGCATCCTGCTGTGCTTTCTGTATGTACAAGGTGGGGTGGAAGCATGTCTGGTACTTGCTCACCCTTGTGAAAATTGCTGAATTCCTCTTCTGAATCATAGTCTTTCTCTGCAGTGTCATTTAAAAGTATTGGGCTAAGTTTTGATTCTTACTAAGGTCTTATTATACAAACTCCTGGTGTGTTTATGAGACTTGCAGTAGAGAAAACATAACAAGGAATATTCATATCTCTCATAGCATCTTGGTAATCTAGATATAAATAGTTTTAGAACTGTTGTTCTACAAGAAAAAGATAATTGTTTTTATTAACCTTTCTCTTTCTTAATGATGTCTGGTTTTTAATACATTAAATATTCTCAATATTTAATTAAGGTTTAGAACAGATACTTGCAACATATTACTTACTAAATAGTTTTTCTCAGAAGAAATGCTATAACTTAAATATATTTTCTATCATGTGGGCACAAAGCCATGAGGAGAGATAGCGATGTTTGCAGAAAATATCTCCCACATCTTAACATATGTAAAGTTTGTAACTTCTTTCTTTTTCTACTGACAGAAGCCAAGATGATACATCTTTCCACTTACACCTGCAAAAATGCACAAGAGACTTATAACTGAGACATAGCCTGAAGAAAGTTGATGAGGTTGTTAGTAGTCTCTGTCACAAATAACAAGTCTATGGACGGTTCTGGTCTTTTCTTCAGACTTTGATGAAACCTACGAAGGACAGAAAGTTGATTTTGCAGAAGGAGCAGCAGCTGTAAGAAGAAAAAGAGAAACATCAAGCAAAAAAAGCTGGAGGAAGCCAATGAGAAGAACTACAATTAGTTATGACTAATCTGTTACATGCTTAAGTTTTCTTGTACCTTTTAACCTTATTTATAGAGTCTATTTAATTTCTTTTAAAAGTTAAGACTTTTTTTCATGAAGTACATGAAGTATACGAAGCTCATATACTTTGGCTGAGAAATCTATTAGCATCTAGAGTAACACGACAGCAACAGCATTTCAGATTTTTGATTAAATATAGGTTAGTAAATCACAAGCAATAAACCTGAAGTATCTCACACCCCTTTGCCGTGCCCTCACTTTTCAGTGATAGTTAAAGAATGATATAAAAAAATTCCTTTTTGTTTGTCTGTTTGACATGGTCAATGCAAATAAATCACTTAAGCTTAGGAAAACAGGTAATTATCTAGCAGCAGGCTCATTCATTTCCAGCCTGTAGGTGGATGTAGTTTCAAACAGAAAATGACATTCTAAATATCCACATGGACCTGTTAATTGTGGCAGAAACGTGTAGAATGCCCCATGTAAAATGAGCATGCTACTTTTCCATAAAAACCTTTATTTCAGTGTCAAAAATGCAATGTGCATTCAAGTTGAACTACACATCTTGTTACTTCTCAAGATGGTTGTGCCTCCTGGTCGACCAGGTCAAGAGTTTCATAAGACTTTGCATGCTTTGCATAAAGTATACCTCAAGTGGGAATGACACCACAGGAATATTTATGTTTTCAAGGCATTCTTTGTATTTGAATGACAGTTGAGTGAACCATCACTTAAAAGAAAGAAGAAAACAAATGATTTTTTTTTAAATTAATCAAACTGTTAAGTATGGGAGGAACATCTAGCAAACTATAACGATCGTTGAAGTTGCAACAGTAAGTTGTGGAGGAAAAAATACTATTGCTGTCCTATTTTGGAGATTACTATGACAGGTTACTAAATTCCACTCCACTTAAAAATTTCTTCCCACAAATTTATAAAGTATTTTCTAAAAATTGAGCAGAGTTCCATAATGGAATTCTGGCAAATTGAAACATGTTGCTGTGACAGTTCCTAAAATATTTCTATTTTATCTTTGTTTTGTATTATAAATATGTCAAGGTAAGTCATTTACATCTGCATAATCATAAATCATAATCATAAATCCACATAAATACAGCTTTAGTCTTACAGATGAGTCTTAAGTATTACATATGGTATTAGCTTTGTGTTTGGCTACTGCTCTGTATAACAAGTGACTAAAAAATAAATGATATTTAACATTAACAAAACCGTTCTTAATGGTTTCTCAAATAGAAGTCAGTGGCAAAGATAGAGGTCATTGCCAGAAAATATTAATGGTTCTGGGTTTTATTCAATTAGAACAATACCATGTGAAATACCATGTAAAATGGGTGCAGGAAATTGCATCAACACCTTTCTAAATAAGAAACAGATGGGCTCAGAGATATACACCAAAAAATAGCAGATTTATCTTACAGATTTTATTGATGAAATCTTTCATAAGGAGCTTGTTCAATATTTGTTCCAGTAGACCACTGTAAGCGTTAACTGAGTAAGTTTAAATCAAAAGTAAAACAAATGTATGTTTCTGCATCCATTTACAACGAGGTGAAGTTAACCCAGAATTTTTATGGGGAAAAGAATTTACCAAACTGAGAGCTGAGTCTTCCCATTCACAGGCAGAGAAAGAAGGATAGCTTTTTGACATCAAGATATAGGAAGTATATGTTGGAGAAGGAGCTGTGAAAGATAGGCATCACTTGTGTGGGGCCATAAGGTTGGTAAATTACTGTTATAGATATTTCTTCAATTAAAATTTGAAGGTTTGCCCCAGAATGCAGATATCAGCTCTGTCCTATGTACATTGATCCTAGATTTTAAAGCAAAGTTTTTTTGTTTGCTTGCTTTTTGTATTGTCTGTTGATTGTTTCTCCTAAGATAATTTGGTGTCTGCAATTGGTTTCTGGCACAGTCTCTCAAAATGCAATTCAAGTACAACAAGGGCAGCAAGGTTTTCTTGAGTTGTGTCAAGACATTAGAAATCATTTGATTAATGACAGTGTATTATTGCTTCTTTGAAGGTGCTAATGAACAAGGAAAGGGAAAAGTCCCAAATATAGGAACAAAATGACAAGGGTGCATATGAAAGGAGAGACAGCATATAAGTCTGAAAAAGGATCCAGATGAGAGCTGATTTAAGGCATTCTGCTTGTAGAGTTAGTCTTCTCGTTCTTTCTAAACCATGGAGTTTGCTCAGATTTTCAGTAGTTGGAAATGAAAGAGAAGGATGCCCCATATGACAGTATATGAGCAGTTAATATTTTCATGAAAAATGATTGTTATTAAAAGAGCAGCTCTTGATTGTTTTTAATTTTCAAACTCTAGCTACCTCCACTGTCCACACATATGCTAACACCAATAATTCTTTTGCAGTTGACTTAGGAAGAACAATATACACTTATTTGATGCTTTTATTTTAATGCCTCAATGTTTTTGTCTTATTAGCATGTTATAAATACTGCTGAATAATAAAAAGAAAAGTGAAAGTGCTTCTGGTCAAGAGCTTGTGTGTATAAAGCCACCAAGAAAAAAATGTGTGGGTTCTGATTCTCATAAAGAACAGTCAGCTCAAGGATGTCGTGTTGTCACAGGCATTTAGGTGTCTGTTATTACAGTGTGTGTTGTGCTGAGAAAAACAGCGTGGATCAGATGCTGTATTATTATGCATCTATCTTTACTGACTCAAACATGACAGCGTATGTATGGGTACGTACAGGCCTTATGTTGTGCCATGGGCAGTTCAGGTTGGGTGTTAGGAAAAAATTATTCTCTGTTAAGTGGAGATGCATTGGCACAGGCTGCCCAGGAGGGTAGTGGAATCACCAACCCTGCAGATATTCAAGAACTGTGAAGATGTGGCACTGGAAGGACATGGTTAGTAGGCATGGTGAGAATGCGTTGAGGTTGGATTTGGTGACTTCAGTGGTTTCTTTTTCCAACTTTAATGAATTATTCTTTGAAATTGATTCTGTGAACTCAAACATCCAATGAAGACTTTTGTTATCAATCTGAGCCACAATACGTGTTCTAGATATGGAGAAACCACATAAATGCATGTAACACAATTCATTTAAGCACTCAACAGGTGTAAATCTATGTAGTGGTACAAAGAACACAAGCACTGCGCATTTCTGTAATTGCTACAGTAGCAACGGACACATTTGAGGGAGCACAATGACAGAATGCATTCATCATAAGAGCAAATAGCAAAACTGTAGGAACAGAAAAAAGGAAGGAAAAAGAAAGCTTGCCATAAAGCATCTGATTTTCTGAGAGTATACTGCTAGTACAGGGCAGGAGGTTGCTTAAGATGTGCACTGCTGATGTACTGATACTTTGTCCACCTACATTTAAAAGCTGTGAGAGTATTTCAAATCTGTGACTTACTCAACTCTGTATTCATGTTTTAGAAGCCATACTAATGATTTAAAAAGAAGGCATGCAAACAATCATAAAAGATGTACATTATTAAAAAAAATATAGGTGTGGTACCGTTACTCATTTAGAATACTAACAAATATGCTGTAATTATGTACTGAATAAAAATTGTCATTATTTATTGAGTCTTAAGTGCCCTTTAAGTAACGTATCCCTTTATGAAAGGGTAAGGCTTATGTAGCCTGCATTTTTTCAGAATGGATCTGTGAAAAATTTCAAGCCTACTGAGCATGTTAACACAAGGAGTCTAAATCCCATAGATTTCCCTGAGCACTTCTGATATTCAGTTGCCCAAATTTGAAGCAATAGACACAGGATATGTTCTAGTACATAATAATGACAAAATATTTTTCTGTAGTTGGGCTCAACGACCCTTATGGATCCCTTTCAATATTCTCTGATTCTATGATCTTCTGGAACACTGAAGGTAGAGTTCAAGTGTGCTGATGATGTATCTTGCCTCCTCAGCCTGCCTCCATGTGAAATTGCCTATTTGCCATTATAAGAACAGCAGTGAGGCCCTGGTGAAATGGGGAGGCTGCCAGGTTGCTGCCTGTGACACAGGACTGTGCAAGAACAAAGGAACAGTGTAATCTGGTCTGACCATAATGAAACACTTAATGCTGATTTGCACATGTGAGCAAGAGCTGTTATCAAAAGATCCTCCATTTGATCAGTAAAAAAAAAAAAACTTTAATTGTTGTATCCTTTGTTATTTGCAGGGCATTATAAAGACATGAATTATAAGGCTGGTTAAGTTATAGCTCTGGGCAGCCTGGGCTGCTGGTTAGCAACCCTGCACGTAGCTGGAGGTTTGAAACTAGATGATCATTGTGGTCCTTTTCAACCCAGGCCATTCTGTGATTGTATGATCCTATGATTGTATGATATACACTTTAATGCTACAACATTATGCATCTCAGTTCTCTCAGCTAGGGTTTTCTGTAATGCTGTATCCAAACAGTACATTTCTGAAAGAACAATTTCTTAGTATGCCAACATTTAGATATTCCAATGCATTCTAATGTACTGAATATTTTTTTTTTCCTTATACAGAAATCTTTCCTTTTTTTTCATAAGGTGACAGAACATATCACTTGAAAAATTGCCTAATCCCTCTCCGTTTTATCTCCAGGTTCTCTCAGAACTGTATCATTATAAATTATAATGAAACTCAAAAAGTGACCAGAATAGTAATTGGAAGAACATTTGGCATCTTAAAAATGAGACTTAGATGCTTAGGTAAATGTGATAGAACAGAACTAATCTGCCCTTCAAGAAAGTTCAGAGAGGTTCTGGTTGGGGTGTATTATGTAAAACAGCCATTAAACATGGCTCATCTGTAAAGATGGAAAGGAAGCAATTTAATCACTGAATCACAAATCATTGAAGTAAATGATCCTAACGATGTACACTTGGAAAATTATCTCACGATAGGATAGAGGAAATTAAAAATAAGATGCCAGCTATCTGGAACAAAACATAAGTTAAAGTGAAATTGAACACCTTTCTTCTGAGGTGATGCAATAGTAATAGAGTGCTTCTACCCAGGACTGCGGCGTGGGGTGAAAGATGCTGTTTTTGGACATAATGGAACCCTCCCCCATGTTGACTTCTGTGCACCTTCCGAACATTCCTGTGTCTTTACATTTCAACCTACAACCATCTTAGATTCAATAAAATGGAAATTAGAAATATGTTCTTTCCATTGTGGACTACCCACCAGTAGAGCACAGATTCAGCTAACACATAGATTCTAATTTCTTTATTCATCTTGCCAAACAGTAGGAATGGGATCTGCTCTCCTTCCCTACATCTTCTACACTTTATTTAGCAAGCCTAAAGACTCTTAACAAGTGCTAAAATTTAGGTTTCTCCTTTCCATCTATCTAAATTTCTTGGCTCCACAAATCCCCAGAATTATATTTTTTTGTATGTATATGCACATGTTCAGGTGAAGAAGGACAGTCGTTTCAACAGTCATGTCAGCAATTCCAGCTTTGTGCCCACTGCTTCAGGTGAGAGCTGTGGGTCTAAAAGATATCAGACAGATCAGCATCCAATCCAGACCTTCCTCCCAGCCTCTTAACAGGTTGGCTCTGCTCCTTATCTGGGCTTAGCAAGAAGTCATAGAATCATAAAGGGTGGAAGAGACCTCAAAGATCATCTAGTCCAACCATCAACCCATCCTTGTTATGCCCCCTAAACCACATCCCTCAGTGCCACAGCGACTATTTTCTTGAACACCTCCAAAGATAGGGACTCTGCCACCTCACTGGACAGCCTACACCAGTGCCTGATCACTCTTCCTGAGAATATTTTTCTTTTAATATCCAATCTGAATGTCCGTTGGCACATCATGAGGCCATCACCTCTCTTCTTATTGCTGTTGCCTGGGAGAAGAGGCCAACCCACAATGTGCTCCAACCAATATCTCACTTTGAGATTGGAGTCATATAATTGAAACTAAAACAAACACATCAGACATTAGTTCTTCTTTCATGAAATTATTTAGTCTACAATGCTACAGGGTCTAGCACTCTCACCCAGACCAAAGAAATATTACTAATTTCAACAAGGAACATAATTTTTTATACTGCAAATTTAAACAGAGAAAAATGTTTTCGGTCATGGACTCCGTAAATTAATTTTTAAAAAAATTATTTACTTATGAGATACTCTAAGATTGACAATGTATTGAAGCAAATCCATGCTAAGAGGACCCCAGTATACAGCTTTGTATGCGTAAAGTGCAATAAGCTGTTCCACAGACACTGATGTAGAACTCTCTTCCTATAGATTCCTGCTCCATATTTTCAACATATTTCTCAAAGTCTTAAAGTATCCCCCATATGTTTTTACCCCCTCATTTCAAGGAATGGCATGTGTTGCTTAAAGCAGTGCTTGTGCCAGTTGTCCTGCAAGGCCACATATGCTGTCAGACCAGCTGGCTGTTGGCAAACAGCAGAGGTAAATGTCAAGCTCTTGTCTGCCCTCCTACTCTGAAGGCAGCATGGAATTATTTTCCTGTGAACATAACTTGTCCACATATTGAGTTTTGTTTGGATAATTTACAATAGTGCAGAAACTAAACAGGAGTAAAGAGATCAGTCACATATAAAGGAAAAGAAATGATCTGTACTTAATTTCTCATAAGAAATTTAAACTTTATGTTTTTAATTAAATTTTCCCAACTTAAACCAAGTGGTGTTCCAAGAGGAACTGATAAACAGCCTCCAGAGCGAGTTTTTTCTTTTCCCCTCCATCTATAAAAATGTATTTATTTCCTACTAATGAGAAATGAAGGGCCACATCATCAGATGGTGGAAAGCTGTGTTGCTCCATTCCACTAAAAAGAAATCAATTTGTACCAGATTTATATCTGGCACTCGTTAGTTCTGGTCTACTTATATGCTCCTAGGGTTGAAA